CCTTTAACCTTCCTCAACACACTTTTGAGAATTACAATGGAGTCTTGAAATTCATAAGATAACATCTTCAATCTTTTTATTCAACTTGAAATATATTTTTAAACAACAGATCTTTAAATTACGAGAAATTCTTAATAAGCATTTGTTGGAAGAAATAACAACAGCAAATCTGATATGAATAAGACAGAAGAATTGAGATTTAAGTGACATAATAATTTGCTAGTAAGAAAGTTTAAGTACAATAGCTAACAACACAAAAATATGTATCCTTTCATTGCAAGGATTTTTGCCTTTTTGTTTATTGGTATGTTCACTGTTTTTAGAATAATGTTTAGTTTAGGATAGAAGTCCAGAATATTTGTTAAATAAGTGAGTGTTTGAGCAAATGATTATTTTGATACAGAAAATTGATTATGATTCTCCTGGTCAAATAAAACACATCTGTGATCCTGTGATTCCATAATTAACAATCTGAGATGTGGAAATGGTTCACAACCTGGCACAATACACTAGGTTCTCAATATAAAAGTGAAAAGTACAAAGTCCTGGTGTTCAACATCCACAATATGTAGTATGGTATGGGAAAGCTAGATGTGCTCTGATAAAAGAGAATAAGTAAAATTTTTAAATAAAAAAAGGTTTTTGTTTGAGGATTGTCTAAAAAGATGAGGGAGAAGACAAGAAAGTTCTGGTTCCCAAAGCAAAAGGAAAGAAATGTCAAAGTTCACAGTGAGAATAATAAGCTATGGATATTTCAAAGTTTTTAACCATAATTTGCATCAAGAAATGCACATATATAGTACACTTAACTGCGACAAGATTTTTTGTTTGTTTGTTTTTTGAGAAAAGGTCTTTCTTTGTAGTCCAGGCTGGCCTTGAACTCATGGCAAATCTCCTGCCTCAACCTCCAGAGTGCTGAGATTATAGGCGTGAGCCACCACATCCATCAAGAGACAAGATTCAGGAAACAATACCTACCTTTACTCATTTGATGCATCAGATATTTTCTAAGGTATTTCAACTTTTCATTATTGGTCAAGGTGTACTAAATTGATTTCAAGATGCATTTCTTGGAAACACATAGGGTTTGAGCCATTGTTTAGATGTGGCAAGGAAACCACTGAAGTGGAAACACAAAAGACTGTCAGCACAGCAGCAACTCTTCTACCACTCAAGTAGTTTTGCAGCTGAAATGCTTAGGGATTGTGATCTACAGCCTATTCTGATTTAAAATGACTCAGAGTGGTAGAACAGATGGGTACTGAACTTTGTCTTTGCATCAGTCCAAAGTGCTGAAAGGGCAAGTGCCAGGCCCTTCCTTTTCTGTTCTGAGTATGTTTGGACCTTACTATTATTCTAGATTGAAGAGCTTTTGAAAACGAAACTCTTCCCATTTCTGGGAGCATTGTAAATTCAATCTATAAATTTATTTTAGAGTTTACAACACACACATGGTTTTCATTGTTGTACTTAACTCTGGATAACTCTAATTCTTCCCCTATATAAAATGTGTGCCTCCACAATAGTCTTTAAGACTGTTTACTGAAGCCAGCATGATGGCACACACCTCTCCTTGCTACTTGGGAGGCTAAGGCAGGAGGATTCCAACTTTGAGGCCAGACTGAAAAGTGTAAGCAAGATACTGGATAAAAACTGTCAAATTTTTACAAAGGGCTGGGGGTGTAGCTCAGTGGTAGAGCCCTTGCATGATATGCATACCCTTGTTTTCAGTAATCAGTATCATAAAAAACAAGACCAAAAAACAAACAAATGAACTGAGGACTTTCTAGGTACAAAGATCTAGTGCTAATTATAATAGTGGAGAAACACCAATCTGAGCCTCCTGGAGTTTGTATTGCATAGAAAACAAATTAAATATGTACAGATAATAAGATGCATTAAGTTATGAAGGGAAAAAAAAGGTATCTTGGATTGGAAAATATCATTCCAACTAGTCAGGGAAGGTCATTCTCAAGAGGTAACATTAAAGTTGAGAACCAAAGAATGAGAAGGAGGCATGAAAGTGAAATGCTAAGGGGAAAAACTATTGTCCAGGCAGAGGATGTGCATTAAGTAAAGATGTGATACAAGAAAAAAGTGTGCTATTAGGAGGCCAGTATGGCTTAACCACTTGAGGAGTGAGGAACACTATTAGTAGATAAGATGAGAAGTTGCTGGAATGGGAAGTTAGTAGTGAATGATATGATCAAATTTGAGTTTTTATTATTTACTTAGGTATTTGAGATAGGATTTTACTATGTATTCCAGGCTGGCTTTGAACTTGTAGCAATTCTCCTGCCTCAGCCTCCTCAGTGCTGGGATTACAGGTGTGAACCACCCTGTCCAGCAAAATGTGGGCTGTTAAATGCTCGTGCTTCTATGGACTATATGTGGACAATGGATTGGATAGGAAGTGAATAGAAGCTATGAGATCCCTTGGGAGACTGATTTCTAGGGAATAAAGGACGGATTTGAGTAGGGTGTCGACAATGGAGGTGGAATAAAGTAGATGACGAACTCAAAATATATTTTGGAGCTAGAAGGAACAAAACAAAATTTTTACAAAAGAGACCACAAGGAACTAAGTTGAAAATTGGGTGAACAAGTGAATACATTTAAAGAGGAAAATGATATTTCTAGGAAAGAATGGGAGAAGTATACACTAACAGCCTAAAAGTAATGTTAGCGTTGTCACATTTACAACTCAATATCATCCCACTGACTAAAAGGGGGGACAGCCAAGAAGGTGAGGGCTAAAGAAAAAAGACAATAGGGCGCAAGCGCAAGGACCCAAGTTCGATCCCTGGTACCAAAAAAAACAAAAAAAAAGACAATAGGGACTTGTGTAATTTCAAAGTATATGGGAGGCCAGGAGGTCAGTACTTCATGTGGGCAGAAGACCAAGACATCTGACCTTGCCACTGTATATTGGGTTGCTTCATAGGGAGTATCAAATGACTCATAGGGTAGCAATAATCCTAAATCCAAGAGGATTTTCTAATCTGAGGGAGTATCAGATGTCTCAGAGGGTGACTATAATCCTGAGTTCAGAAGGATTTTTATGCTGATGTAATCTTGCCCTAGAGCATCACAACATCATGAGACCATTCAGAATGGCTCCCAACAACTCAAATCCTACCTTCTACTCTGGGCCTGTAATTTCTTTAAATAAGGTATTAAACCAAGGAATAAAGAAAGAGGAACTGTTTTAAGGATATTTGGTTTTAAATAGTTGGGTCCAGGCTAATGAAAAAAATATAATGCACCCACTGAAAATAAGAAAGCAAGATCTAACTAAGATCATTTCAGTGAGAAACAGCAGCTCTTACCTGGAGGTACACTAGAATTCCCTTAGGCACTTTTAAGAACTACAAGCCTAGGTTTCACCACAGGGATTGTGATTTAATTGGTCTGAGGGGGACCCAGGCATAGGCATTTTTTAAAAGCTCCTTAGAGGATTCTAATGAATAGCCAGGATCCACAGTCTGATGTTACAAGTAAAACGGAGGATGTCACATCAATAAACCTAATCTGTTAATGAAAGATTAATAGAATGGAATGGAGAATTCTTCCCCCACACAAAGAATACAGTATGCCCACTGGTTAAATGGATATATTCTGACACCAGGGGAGAGTAAAATTTCATTTTCTCTTGTGTGATTATTTTAAGCTAAGAAAATTATTCTCATCTCACTTATTAATGATACGCTCATAACTGACATGGCACATTTTAAAAATATTTTTTATTTCCATTATGTACAGCAAAGAAGAGAGTAACAGCTGATGGTTGACTGAAAAAAAAATAGAGGAAGTAGATAGCAATCTTGCCCACACAAGGAAACACCCAGGAAAAAAAGTGATGTGCAGTGGGAAAGATTTTGTTTTTTAAAAAAGTGTGAAGCATTTTGTTACTTTGGGGGCAGAAAAACATAATGGGTTGCCAAAATACACTGGCAGTGGATTTGTATCACATCACTGTTGCTTTTTAACTGCATGATTTAACTCTTGAATGAGCCACACAATTAACAGTGCGAGACCCAGAGCCAAATAATTATTCTCTTGAATAAGAGACCAGAAACATAATTCTTTTTTATCCCCTTAAATTTTTTTGTTGGTACATTCTAGGTATACAATTTGTTTACATTTATCACTGGGTGCTTGTACCTGTACATGATGTACCTTGGTTCTTATTTTTTTCCCCATTACCTGTGTGCCCTTCACCCCCTCCACCCTTCCCTATTTACACAGACTTTGTTTCTATTTTTTTCTTTTCTCATAATTTTTCCTTTCCCTTCTTTCCTTTCCCCTGCCCCTCCCACCACCCCATCCCTTTGGACCTTTTCCTATTTCAAATTATCAATTATTTGCTTTAATCATTTTAATCCTTATTTACACTTTGTTTCTCACACCAGAGAAACTATTTGGTATTTACACATGTGTGTCTTATTTATTTCACTTAAGAGTATGGCCTCGACGTGCATCCATTTAGCTATAAATGTCTCTAGTTTCTCCTTTTTTATGGCTGAGTAGTAGTCCATTTTATTTAAAAAAAAAACACATCTTTATCCAGTTTCCAGTTGATGGGCAATTGGGCTGTTTCCAAACTTTAGCCATCACAAACTGTGCCGCTATAAACATGGGTGCACATATCTATCACTGTGACATGATTCTTTTAATTCTTTTGGGAAGATCCCCAGCAGGGGAATAGGTGGGTCAAATGGGACCTCTAGCCCTAGTTCTTTGAGGTATCTCCGTAACAAACATAATTCTTGTAAAGATGGTTTGTTGCTGGTCGAAGAACGGGTAATTTAAATCCAAGACCTAACCCATTCAGTTTATGAAGTGGTCAGGTTAGAATCAGAACCATAGTTTTGCACTTAGTCCCATTTACATCTTCTTTACACCCTAACTCCCCTGAAAGAAATAGCAAGTTCCAAATTTCCACATGAAGGTGGTGGTGCGTGAACGGCGCCATGATTGGCGGAGTAAAACCGGGAAGGTGAGCCGACCCGACCAAGGTGTGTTTCTAGCTTTAAGTGGGCGTGCCTCCTTCCGGGAGAAAGAGTGAAAGCAAGAGGGTTAGGAGAAGGACGCGGGATCCTACGAATCAGAGAGCCCGGGTGCGGCGGGTGGGGAAAGGCATTCTGGGACTCCAAAGACGCAGAACACTAGAGCTGCTGGCGGAAGGGGTCGCAGTACTGCAGCCAGACCGAACCCGGGAGAAGCGCACGCCTGAACTACAATTCCCAGCAGCCCGGGCCAGGAGACCGCTCCACGCCGCGCAACGCCCGCCGGGAGTCGGCCGCTACCTCCAAGATGTCGCAGGCCAAGAAAAGGAAGCTTGAGTCTGGGGGCGGCAGCGAAGGAGGGGAGGGAGCTGGAGAGGAAGATGGCGGGGAGTTTGAGGTATCTCCGCAGCGACCGCGGAGGACTAAGCGCGAGCGGGACCAGCTGTACTACGAGTGCTACTCGGACGTGTCGGTCCACGAGGAGATGATCGCGGACCGTGTCCGCACAGACGCCTACCGCCTGGGCATCCTGCGCAACTGGGCAGCGCTTCGAGGCAAGACGGTGCTGGACGTGGGCGCGGGCACCGGCATCCTGAGCATCTTCTGTGCCCAGGCCGGGGCCCGGCGCGTGTACGCGGTGGAGGCCAGCGCCATCTGGCAACAGGCCCGCGAGGTGGTGCGGCTGAACGGGCTGGAGGACCGCGTGCACGTCCTGCCCGGCCCGGTAGAGACGGTGGAGTTGCCAGAGCGGGTCGATGCCATCGTGAGCGAGTGGATGGGCTACGGACTGCTGCACGAGTCCATGCTGAGCTCTGTGCTCCACGCCCGGACTAAATGGCTAAAGGAGGGCGGCCTCCTCCTGCCGGCTTCCGCGGAGCTCTTCATAGCTCCTATCAGCGACCAGATGCTGGAATGGCGCCTAGGCTTCTGGAGCCAGGTGAAGCAGCACTACGGCGTGGACATGAGCTGCATGGAGAGCTTCGCCACGCGCTGCCTCATGGGCCACTCTGAGATCGTGGTGCAGGGTCTGTCGGGCGAAGACGTGCTGGCCCGGCCTCAGCGCTTTGCTCAGCTTGATCTGGCCTGCGCCGGCCTGGAGCAGGAGCTGGAGGCCGGGGTAGGCGGGCGCTTCTGTTGTAGCTGCTATGGCTCGGCGCCCATGCATGGTTTTGCCATCTGGTTCCAGGTGACCTTTCCAGGAGGGGAATCGGAGAAACCCCTGGTGCTGTCCACTTCGCCTTTTCACCCAGCCACTCACTGGAAGCAGGCGCTCCTCTACCTGAACGAGCCAGTGCAAGTGGAGCAGGACACGGACATCTCAGGAGAGATCACGCTGCTGCCCTCCCGGGACAACCCCCGACGCCTGCGTGTACTGCTGCGCTACAAAGTGGGGGACCAGGAGGAAAAGACCAAAGACTTTGCAATGGAGGACTGAGCATTGCCTTTTCTCCCAGCCATCTCCTAAGGCAGCCTGGCCGGTGTGGGAGAGACTTTGGGAGGTCGGAGGAGAAAGGGAGACCCCATTTACAAGTAGGGGACAAAATCTCTTTTCCTTTGGTTCCTAGGGAGGGAGAGTGACTTCAGTCTCCGTTTGAGGAGAGTCTTCTGGCAATGGTTATTTAAAAAGTGATTTCCCCCTGGACGGACATACTATGCTTATCAAGGGCTTTTAAGCCTCAAAGCATGTGGTATGAAGCAAGCACTTGTTACATTTCTCTTGTTTCACGAGAAAAATGGGTAAAAATGTCAGTTTAAGAAGGGTTCATGGACAAACCTGATATATTACACCTTATCTAGGTCTGAAGTTGGGGAGAAGAGTAAAAGGGTTCAATTAGAGTCGAAAAATTTCCAGTGTAACTTACTATCCCCTTGGAACCATATTTTCTAAGTCTTTGAATTACCTCCATTTCTAGGTGCCTGTAGGCTGGGAATATTTGTTCCTCATTGTTTTCTCAGTAAATTTTACTACTGATAATGAAAGGGAAGAGATGAAGTAGTTTAGCCCTGTTCTTACTATGTCCTAAGGGTGCTAAAACTGATGAACACATGAATCCATTAGGAAAATGTATTTTTTGTAGTTACACAGCATACGTAAGAAGGTCAAAAGGGAACATAAGAGAAAAACACAAATAGTATGGATTAAGTCCACTAAGTTAAGGAAAATACTTTCCCGCCTAGAAAAGTGTGCTCATTCTCATTTGGAGGAATCATATGACTTGGCCTACTTTTATCTAGTGAAAGTTCTTTTTAGTTTTACTCTTTTTAATCTTTTTAGCTCAGCCAAATGTGAAAGTTGTGAATTTGGGAAAATCACTTGTAACGAAGTGTGAGTCATGTTTTCAAATTTATTTCACTGATGTTTCCCTCTTTATCTCTGGCAAATAAAACATTGGCATTTCCATTGTTTTAATAGATGAAGAAATTTTGTGTATTGTGTATGTAATGCTTTTACCTTTTTCACACGGTCAGTCCTTAAGTGATAAAACCCTCACAGGATGCAGGTTAACGGGGCAATTCAAATTATGCTTAAGGTATGGTTTTTGTATTGTAGTAGCTTGTATGCTATTAGAAACAAGTCTGGGAAACTGAGGTTTTTAAGTATTCTAACATTTATATAACTACATTGTTTTGGTGTGTAGTTAAGTATGATAATTTTTTAAAATTTTGGTGGTTAATGAAATCTATTATGAAAGGAAGCACATGTATAAAATCCGTTTTACAGGATAATTGACTAGCAAGCAGTAAAATATAATTGTCACCGTTTTGATATCAAGATAGTTATCTTGTGTTAATGCTACATTCTAGGAAGGGAGATTTAAACTAGAGGTAAAAAATAGCTATTTTAAATCAAACTTTTGTTTTTAAGAGTTTCAGTGTGATTTAAGTAGGTTTCTGGTTTTATTTAAACTTGTTATAGCAACCCTTTACTATGTAACTAAATGAAAGTGTTGTTCTGAACTCAATTTTTTACTTATTTTGTAAATATAACCCCTGCAGTTCTCATTAGCTGTATAAGCACTCAAAGGAAATCCCAGTTAAAAGTTAGGAAACTGAAAGAGTAAGGATAACAAAGTAAGCTTCAAGATTCTTTTTAATCTTTCCCAAAATAAAAATGAGTTATGAAAATACAGCTACACGAGCAGTCATAGCATACTGAGGCATCATAGCACACTGGTTAAGACATAGCCCATGACTCATTTAACTGTATCATTGGTCAGACTACTACCTGTTATTTTTTCCCTTCAGAGTCTTCATGTGCAAAATGGAGATAACAATGGTACCTACTCCATAGAAATACGAGGATACAATGAGTTCATACGGTATATAGTACATAATAAGGTCTCAGTAATGCATCAGTGTTGTAATTACATAAAATTCGTGCAAACCAGGAGCATGTGGATACATATAAAATGGATTACAGTATAAATATTCAACATTTTTGGTTTTTTTACAGGTACTGCTTCATAGCATGGCTGTACATAAAGAATATACTGGACACCAGATTATCCGAAGCAAAATCAAGATCTTTGGAGTGTGGATATCTCCAGAAGAATGAAAGTGTAAGATGTATCAGTATCCAGGCACTGTCTGATCTGTGGACTGGAACCGATTGCTTGAGGCCATTAGGGTTGCAGGCAGGAATTGCTGGGCCCAAAGGAGAGGAAAACTAAAATTCTACCTGCTTGCCTCACACAGCTTCTGTTTATTTAGCACTGTGAAATTTTGTAAATATTTTCATTAATTCATTGGACCAATGAACATTTAATCGAGTATACAATGTCTTTTTTTTTTGGTACCAGGGATCAAACTCGGGACCTTGCATTTGTTTACAAGGCAGGCTGCCGAACCACTGAGCTAAATCCCTGGCCCTCGAGTATACAGTGTAATAGTCATTGTGATAACCATTCAGGATACAAACCAATAGAACTAGATTCTACCTTCCGATAAACATCTTCATAAGATAAGCTACTAAATAAAATTAATGATAATGGGCTAACTAGTAGGATGCTCTTGCTGTTGGGAAGGACGGGTAGTTATCTCTTGGCTTTACATATTAGAAAACAGTTTACACAAATGCTGAGTCACCAAAGGTTCCAAACCTAATTCTTGGCAGTTACATCTTGAGCACAAGATTTTGACTTCCTAACCCCAAAGACAAATTGTGTTTTTCATTATATTATACTGTTCAGTTAAAAAAGACAAAAATACCTCCTGAGTGTATAACAAGTTTTTTTATCATTTAATGAATGAAGGAAAGGGAAAAGACTGGCCTTAGGAAATCTCATTGCAGATCTGCCTCTTAGACCTCAAGACCCAGCTGACGGTATGTGGGATCTCAACAGTGACAAAGACAAGGCCCTTGGGGATATACCCTGTGCCCATTTCCCTAACAGCTTAATCAAATACAGCACTCAGGTCCCTAGAAAACTGAATTCTTAACACATTAGCAAAGGTAGATGAACTCTACTATTCTGGCCATATGTACTCGGTGCTTGAGAGCAGAGAGGCATCTGATGAGTCTAAAAGGGACACTGAAAATGATCACAAGTTCAAGAAGGTGAATGTGAAAGATACCTGTAGCAAACAACTGCCTGCCATTTCACTTAGGGCCAGTCCTGTTTTTATCTTCATACTGCATACCATCTCGTCCTGTACTGAGAAGAGATGAATTTTAGGAAGCATTTTGTTAACAAAAAGACCACCCGCCTCCCGCATATGCATATTTTTGTGCATTTATGAACTTACTTTAATCAACTGTACAACATTGAAATTCTATGATAAATAATGCACATTCTACCATCAAAGTAGGTCACACTAGGGGAAATAAAATTACATTCAACAATTTACATACATTCTTGAGCCTGAAATGAGCCTCATTCCAGTTAAATCTATTGAAGCACGGTTGAGAGGACAGCCTTATGCCTTTAAAACTTCTCCCAAATGCAAAATTATCACTTATGTCATCAGAAATGAATATTAGCTCCAAAAATAAGTCATCATCCTCTAAATAACTGCTTTGTTTGATAATAGACAGCACATTGGATACATGACCCTTCTCACATTGGCCTTTAGAAAGCTAAGCCAACTTTAATGCCTCATTTGGGTTTTTTGAAAGCTTTCTGTCTGGCTGTTTCCATGCTCCAATTGTTTTTCCTTATTTGTCCTTTCTCTCTTGTAATAAATACCATGTTTTGTTAGAATCTGTGTAACCTTGTTCTTTTCTAATTCCTTCTGGCATTAAAATATTTTTCTACTTCCTGGAATACCTACAGAATGTTTGACAGTGAGGAGGTTAGAAAAGGGGCCAAAGGGCTCAGAGATGTCCCACTTATTCTCTATAAAATCTGTTTGTCCTAGGTTTTTTCTTTGGATGTATGTCTGATTTGATCTCATCCTTTTACAGAACTTAAGGGAAATTTACATTTTATAGACAGAAGATTTTTGAATATGTGAAAAATGAGACATAGAGACAATCTTGAGGAAAATGCAATGTTTTGCAGCTTCTCCTAAGTCTAGAAGAGACCTTGATTTAATCTTAAAAACAATAGCGTGAAGAGTTGTAGGTTTCTGAACCTTTTCCAAGAACATGGTAAAAGCTTAAAGTGGAAATAAAGAAGGATGTGGTATAACTAGACAGTTTTTCAAAGTAGGACACATACTTGTTGAAAAAGATATTTGAAACAAAAAATCTTGTACCTGCCTAAACACAGGCTTTTAATAAACTAAGATATGATGAGTAATACTGGAATTGTGCCCCTTTGGAAGCTTTCATAGTTAAATTTATTATTATTGGTAATAATACCTGCAGGAGAAGACTGACAGAGATCTCACTTGATTCCATAGCTTTATGAAACTTCATGTTTTGTTTTGTTTGTTTTGTTTTGTTTTGGTACTGGGGATCGAACTCCGGTCCTTGCGCTTGTGGGGCAGGCAGCAGAACAACTAAGCTAAATCCCCGACCCTCTATAGCTTTAAACAATATGCAGAGAACACAGAGGGAAAAAAAAAATCCCTCCTCCTCTGTTTTCAGGCTTCTCCCTACAAGATTAAGAAAAGGAAGAAGAAGGTGGGATGGCAGGAAATAATTTCCACATTTGAAAAAACACTTCACAGGCATTTTTATAGTAATAATACACATGTTCATGAAAAACCTTCACATTCTTCAAAATTGTTCACTAAAAATAACCTAAGAAACAGGGCGGATGAACCGTCAAAACCTATATAATTTTGTAAGTACTAATGAAACAATACTAATTCTAATTCTAATATAATACTAATTCTAATTCTAACTACTAATTCGAACATGCGTGCCATGTTGGTGCATGCCTGTAATCCCAGCACTCTGGAGGCTGAAGCAGGGATCACCGAAAGTTTGAAGGCAGTGTGAAGAAGCCAGAGCGAGACTCTGTCTCAGAAAAATCAAAAATAAATAACTAATAACTTATTAAGGAACAAATTCCTATAAACCGGAGTAAATATAACTTGATGGGCGAAAATAAGACTTTTACAAACAAAATGCACAGAGATAGAAGACACAATAAACATTTCTAAGAGACAATGTGGCCAAACGAGTCAAGAGGAAGAATCTAGAAGACCATTCCTTCTCAAATTGCTGCATTCATCTGCATTGATATTATTTTTGTTAAATGCCAGATATTGATGGAAATGATCTATATGAATCAACCAACTTCCGTTCTATATGCAGACACTGATTTTCTACTTATCAAATGAATTTGAGTTGATTTATTTTTCAGAAATAGGCATCATAGCAGCACATTTTGTCCTTTGCTGAGTTTCCAGAAATTAAAATACTGTGTTAAAAAAACAATTTAAAAACTCCAAGGAGTTTATAGATTTTTTTTTTCAATGTCCAGATTTTCTTTTCAGGGAAAGAAAATAATTTTGGTCAGTAGGAAAGTGAATAGGAAGGGAAAAATACAAATTCTGACCTGAGTGGAGTGGAAGGAAAATAGTTGATAGTTACTGGAGATAAGAAGATGATTGGATGAGGTGGGGGTGGGGACAAGGGCTGTTTTTCACACAGAACAGCATCAAAGCATCTTGAGGCTAAGAAGGCCAGAAGTCAGCTAGAGAAGCAATAAATGAAGATTGGGATCCCTGGGTACATTTTGTCTGTGCCATAATTTCCTTGGGCAGGGTTTTTTGTTTTGTTTGTTTGTTTTCTTAAATTACTGGGCTATCAAATGCCTAAGTATTTTCATCTGTGATAAATCACTGCTTATTTTGGTATAGTATTTGACAGTCTTTAGCCTCTGTTTTCAGCTTGGTTTCAAAATTTATTTGAGGACTTGTGCATGTATTCTTCAGTCCTCTCAAGTTTGTGAGCATGATCTTTCAGCTTCCATTTCAAGCTATGTAAAGCTTAGTAATAGGTAGTGTGGCATGGTATGACCCTTAGGTTCTAAAAGTAACTTGCAGCTTCATTCTTAAAATTATATTACAAATATTTCTCACTAGTAACATAATTATATGTGTGACATGAAATTACTATAAGAAAGAAATATAGTATGCGAAGTTTTGACTTTAAGCTGTATATAATGGTGAAATAAGATTAAGATGCACAAATAGTTAAAATTTTTATTTTATGCATTCAGTGAGATCATATTTTTGAAAAAAATACAGAAATAGCAAACTTTTTAACTATAAACTTTATTCTGTCATTTATCATCTGGAAAAATTACAAAACTAGGAAACATTTAAATGGTTATGAGTGCACAGTAAAAGATAGAATTGAAAAGAGAGGATTTGGAAAATCCAAAGATTAAATATACAGTCCCTGAATAATTGAAAGTTTTCACTAATCAGAATAATTAGAGGAAAACAAGAAGAGAATGAGAGCAATTACAACAAAGGGATTTTAATGCGTAATGAAATTAGAAACCACCAGGAAATGTGCTGTTTATAATAAATAGAATTAAATATCAGCAGGCTTTGATTGAAACTTCAAGGAAATTTTATGGATGGAGCCCAGGCACTATTGTAGTGTATGTTCACATATAAATTTTCTATTGGGTCCAAAAAATATGGTTAAATTTCAGAATAAGTCTTTATACAGATAAGAGAATGGGTGAGTGAGTTACTTTAATCGAGATTGAGAAAGGATGTGGTCATTCACTATCTCCACAAATAGTAATGTTAAGACATTAAAATGATATAGTGTTCAGTGGTTGTTACTAGGATATATAATTTTTCATTGTTTCATCCATTATAGCTAACCCATTTTATACCAGATTATTATGTATTCATGGGGATACACTGTGAAAATAGCACATTCTGAAGCTTTAGACCAAACAGTATTCTAATGTGCCCACAACTACTCAGTATGTAGAATGTTTTTAGGCAATAATGGTATATTAATCAAAGCTCCATTAAAATCAGTGATGTATTGTCTTTGTTTACTTCACATGATTACATGCAATAAAATAATACTCTATAAAGAGTGGAAGATTCCAAATTTCTACACTTCTATTTAAAGGAAATGTTTCCTTTGTCAGACACGCCACAGCCTACATAGAGTTAAGCAGTCAATTCTCATATAAAGCATCTTTGTTAATTTTGAAATCATTGTTCAGTGACTAAGGTGTGTCTGATGCACTTTAAGTACATTATTTTATTTACTCCCCAGAATAGCTCCATGAAGTAGTCCAATAATCATCCTATCTTATAGATGGGAAAGCAAAGGCATGAAGGAGTTTGATGAATTACCCATGACTACAAGGTAAGTGATAGAGTCCAGGACCCATTCCTGAAAATCTGAGCACCTGACCTTCTATATCCATGAGCTCTGTGCTCTCAGGGTTGCAGTGACATCTATAGACACTTCAAGTTGAGTTAAGTCTTTGTCTTATGTCAGCATCCCCAGGATGAGGCTTGGAAAAATGGACATATATACAAGTGTTTATTAAGGAAGTATTTCCCCAAAATGGCACACAGGTAACTGGAAGTGAGATCAAGAAGGAAAGGAAATGAGGCTAATGTGTGACCTCAAGCAAATTCCTAAGACATGCGGATTCACACACAAGACCCTGAGAAGCGTCTCAGAATTCCCAAGTAAGGAGAACAGGATCTGGAAAATTCCTACCTTTTCATCTATCAACTCTTGGTTAATGACTGCCTCCAGGAAGATACAAATTCCTGGACATTTTCTAGCTTTCTATGAGGGCATGCATGGCAGGCCCCACATAGGGACAGTCCCCAGCAAAGGGCTGACAATACAGGGCTGACAGTGAAAGCAC